TTTACGATATTTTGAGTACGCCAATATTAATAACAATGCTCATTACGGAGACCGCGTATACATCCCGCGCAGATAATAACGTTACCGATTGTTGAAAACTATAAAATACGTCCTCCAGTCCAGAGATTTATCGCTACGATGTAAACCAGTTTCCGCTAATAAATATAATGAACCGTTAACGAAATGACCTTACAGACCTGCAAGCACAAGAATGTGTCTATTATTATTTATTCATTTATTTACTAGCTGTGCCATACAAAAAATTCATATTTTATCGAGCAAATTCGTTCCCGAAACGTCCAACGATAAGTGAAAATTTGATATTTTTTCTATATACCTTTACTTCTCTTCTCCAAACCTTTTTCCTCGCCTTTTTCAATACAAATTGTCACTGACAAGCTAGTGAATTTTTCTTTTAGGCTCTCTGATAGGAACATTCTTTAAACGCACTGACATTTTGGGGCAAATCATCTGATTTGTCCTCACTACACGTTAATTGAAATATTATTCATATTTTCATTTCATAGAGACGACGAGAGAAAATCCCAAAAAAATCTGGAATAATGACCCTATACCTTATTTAGCTTAGGTCTTTTCAAAACTAGATTCATAATGGCGACACAATATTAACCCACCAGTACCAGAGATCAATGAAATAAATATTTAGATTATTTATGAGTCCACTATACGTAGTCTATTTGCATAACAAAGCAGTAATTATATACTGGGCCATTTCACTACGCACTATTATGAGCGCCAATTCAAATATAACAAGGTGTGTTTTCAATTGCGAAATATGAATATTGATATTCATGTATCTCTACTCACTGCCCACAAGAGTAAACTCAATATTATGCATAGCTTTGTGACCTTTTATAATAATTATGTATTTCACTACGAGTGTATTGTATGTTTATTATCGTTATGTAGGTAGCAATCAACATGCTATACTTCAATGATAGTATAGTACCTAGTACCTAGCTCCTAGTATCTAGCTGTAATTGTATACTTTCACAGATATTAGGAGGAGTGGTAATGTGGCAAATTTCGAATCAAACAGAAGAGTTACCTCTTTTATTTACAAACCTTGTTTTCATCTTTGTTAAAAAATTACACAATTATTGAGCCGAAAGCAATGATCCATTCCAACCGTGGAAATATTCAAATCAGTCTTGCGTAAGAGAGGATCATAATAATGGTTATCTACAATATTTGCTAGGATGTCACAGTTCCTATTCGCAATGTATTTTGAATCATGAATTACTGAAATACATGTGACTTCGTCGTAAACTTGACTATTTTGAAAGTATGTATTTAGAAAGACGTTGCCCTCCAAAAATTCGCATCACTACACCGTTCCAGATGTATTTCAGAAAGCGTCAATTCAATTTCAGAAAGCGTCAATTGTATTTCAGAATAGTCAATTGTATTTCAGAAAGCATCAATTGTATTTCAGAATAGTCGATTTAATTTCAGAAAGCGTCATTTGTATTTCAGAAAATATCATTTGAATTTCAGGAAGCGTCAATTGAATTTCAGAAATCATCAAGATCGATTAGATAGTAGAAAGTGCACTCAATGTAAGAATGTATAGGATGTTCAGTGCTTCATGTAGTGATGTTTTCAGTTTAATCACCCCAAATTTTTTTTTATGTACCTTTAGGTACCTATATACTATTTGATGAACAGATTACAGAATTTCAGGTATAGGGGCTAGCATAGATACACTTATTTCTATTGATATGAAAAAGTTCTGATTTTTACATGTTTGTCCAACAGGAAGTGACTGATGGCTGTTTCATACTGTAAAATACCCCCCCAAAACGATTCCACCAAATGAGAAATAACACAGATAGAAAATATCAACCTTGTTGAAATGATGTCTGGTGGTCGCTGACTTTCAGTCTATAGGGAACGATTTCTGAAATTCAATTGCCTATTCTGAAATACAATTGATGCTTTCTGAAATTCAATTGACGCTATCTGAAATTCAAATGATACTTTCTGAAATACAATTGACACTTTCTAAAGTTCAATTGCCTATTCTGAAAAACAATTGATGCTTTCTGAAATTGAATTGATTATTCTGAAATACAATTGACGCTTTCTGAAATTGAATTGACTATTCTGAAATACAATTGATGGTTTCTGAAATGCAAGTGGCTATTCTGAAATACATTTGATGCTTTCTGAAATTGAATTGACTATTCTGAAATACAATTGACGCTTTCTGAAATACAAGTGACTATTCTGAAATTAAATTGACGCTTTCTGAAATACATCTGGAAAAGGTGTAGTTACTTTGGAATATAATTGAACAACTTTTCAAATATACCCTTTATACAGTGTGACCCACTTCTAATGGAAACACCCCTGTATCTTACATAATCGGTGGGTAAGGATCCTGAAATTTTCTAGAGCGAGATATACCAAAAATGCACTCTATGACCAAGTGAGGTCATCTTCAGTGATTTACACTGCTCGTCAACAGCCATGGAACAACCCCAATTTCCGGAAAATGATATTAGGAGTCAAAATAGGTTGAAAATCACTTCGGATTCGGAATCAGGACGCCCAATTCTCTAACTATTCAGTATTCATAGTTTTCCTAGAAAATTTTCAGTTCAGAAAAATTAAATTTTTCCTCATGAAAGCACCACCGTATCTCACGTAATGGGCTTATATCACAAAAAAAAATTATTCCATAATTCGATAGAACTCACCCAAACTAGCTCACCACCGCAAACCGTTTCTTGCTATGAGCTCCCTACGTTTTATACAAAATTATTGAATTCCCCGATTTTTCGGACCTCTGAAAACGAGGCGATGATGTGACGTCAAAACCCTAATACCGAAACAAGACTATTCCAGACAGAGATGAATGATACATGATTTCTGACAGAGTGAATTAGCGCGAGATCACAGTTGAAAGAATCAATATATCAGTTGCCTCAGTCTCCGTCGGGCGTTTGGTATTTTCTTTCAACTATGGCGAGATGAGGTTTCTACGTCATAAGAGGGTCCGTTTTCAGAAGGTACTATTATTTATGTCCGAAAATAAAATATTCCAGTTAATTTTTCGATCGAATTATGTCGTCAATCATTATTTATGTATAAAAGGATCATTATAAACATGGTTTGAGTTAAAAGTTCTACTAAGGTGTACACGCCCATTATTGAGGTATAGGGTTCTGAAATTTGCAGAAGGAAGGAAAAGTCTATAGATAAAGTCAATTAGGTAAGATAAGGGGGTAAAAACTGCGACAAAATTTAATTTTTCAGAACTGAAAATATTCCAGGTAAAATATGAATAGTTAGAGAATTGGGCGTCCTGATTCCGAATCTGAAGTGATTTTCGACCTATATTGACTCCTAATATCATTTTTCGGAAATTGGGGTGGTTCCATATCTGTTGGCGAGCAGTGTATATCACTGGAGATGACTTCACTCTCCAAGAGTGCTTTCATTAGAAGTGAGACACACTGTATAAAACAATGACGAGTCAAACGAAATCAGGAGAATGTACAAGGTGACCGTTTCCGTATTTTTTTCAAGAAATTTACGAACTTTCTTAAAGGACGAGTGGTATTCGTCGAAATTATTCATCGAGTAAAAGTGTTACAACTTTTTCAGAAAGACGGGTGATAGGTATTCGTCGAGATTATTCATCGAGTTGAAATCTAAAACTATTTTGATGAAAGACGAGTGGTATTCGCCGAGATTATTCATCGAGTAAAAATCTTGACCTTTTTTTTAGGACGAGTGGTATTCGCCGAGATCATTCATAGAGTAAATATCTCGAACTCTTTTTTGAAGGACAAGTGGTATTCGTCGAGATTATGCATCCAGTAGAAATATCGACTTTTTTTGAGCACGAGTGGTTTTCGTCGAGATAATTTATCGAGTGAAGCTATGGAACTTTCTTGGAAGGACGGGTGGTATTCGTCGAGATTATTCATCGAATGAGAATCTCTAACTTTCAGTGAAGGGCGATCGGTATTTGCCCACGAGTGAATATCTTGAACTTTTTTCAAACACGAGTGCTATTCGCCGACATTATTCATCGAGTACAAATCTCGAACTTTTCCCAAGTACGACTGGTATTCGCCGATATTATTCATCGAGTAAAAATCTTGAACATTCTCGAAGGACGAATGGTATTCGTCGAGATTATTTATCGAGTGGTATTCGTCGAGATTATTAATCCAGTAGAAATATCGACTTTTTTAAGCACGAGTGGTTTTTGTAGAGATAATCCATCGAGTGAAGCTATGAAAGGACGAGTGGTATTCGTCGAAATTATTTATCGAGTGAAAATCTCGAACTTTCAATGAAGAACGAGTGATATTCGCCGAGATTAATCATCGAGCAAATATCTAGAACTTTTTTCGAGAACGGGTGGTATTACATTATTCATCGAGTGATAACCATGAACTTTTCCCAAGGACGTGTGGTGTTCGTCGAGATTATTGATCGAGTAAAAAATCTCGAACTATTCATAAAGGACGAGTGGTATTCGCCGTTATTATTCATCCAGTGAAAATCTCAAACATTTTTTATACACGAGTGGTATTCATCGAGATTATCCATCGAGAAAAATTCTCGAACTTTTTAGAAGGATGAGTAGAATTCTTCGAGATTATTCATCAAGTAAAAATTTCGAACTCTCAATGGGGGACGAGTGGTATTCGCCGAGATTATTCATCGAGACAAAATCTTGAACTTTTTCCAAGGACGAATGGTGATTGTCGAGATTATTTATCGAGTAATGAATCTCAAACTTTTGATGAAGGACGAGTGATATTCGCCGAGATTATTCAACTAGTACAAAATCTCAAACTTTTCTTAAACACGAGTGGTATTCGTCGAGATCATTCATTGAGTGAAAATATCGATTTTTTTGGAATAACGAGTGGTATTAGTCGAGATTATTCATCGAGTGAAAATATCGAACTCCTTCAATGAAAGACGTGTGGTATTCGGCGAGATTATTCACTCACCCGTGTCCGTTGGGGAACCGGTTGGCCCCCGCCGGCGAGGTAGAATACAGGGCGGGCGTCGCGGTCGCGTTCTGCGGCGCAGCGACGGCAGCGGCGGCGGCGGCGGCGGACGGAATGGCGGCGGGCTCGTAGTACTCGGTGTCGAGCCGTCGGTCGTCTATCTGCAGCTCGGCGTTGTGCGCCTTCGCAGCACTTTTGATGTCCATGAACGCCACCGTGCACGCCATCGCGATCTCGCTCCCCGACGCTTTCTCCTCGCCGCCGCCAGGGCCGCCTCTGGCTGGCAGCAGCTTGACGCTTTGCACGCGGCCATACCTGAAAAAAACGAAAAAAATATTTCAATTTTATTTCAGCAGACAACAACCTTCTTAATTTTTTCTATAGAGCCATCGAGGAGAAACCTGGCAACGATGTCGAGGAGTCCTACACTCTCGTTCTCGGCCACTCAGTCGGCCATAAAGAATTGTTTTCTTTTGTGGTGGGTTAAAGTTTGACATTGTGAGATGTTCTCAGTTTTTTACTTTTTCCAATTGTATTATCATATTTCATCATTTGACAGGAACCTTCTATGTCTGATGATGGCCGTTGCGCCGAAACCGTTAACATGTATTAACTGATTGTTTTATATAGTGTGGTCGGCCGACTTTGAGCTACTTGTTTCCTTTTGATATCTGTGATTAGAATTCCAGTAACACCCAACAGCTTCTCAAATTGTCTTGCCATGCCGAAGAAACTTGGCAACTCTGGCAATGAGTTCTACACTATCGTAGTCAGATATACAGGGTGTCTGTTGAAGGTCTTTACAAAAACATACCACATATTCCCTAGACCAAAATGAGTCGATTCAAGTAAAATTACCTTTGTACAAAGTTGCATCGTTTGGGCTCCAGAGGGCCTTGAAGTTACAATTTTTAAATCGTTTTCCACATATAAATTTAAAATGGCTTATGCGATTTTGCTGAAATTTGGTATATTGATAGAGTTTTATGTGACAAAAAAAAACTGATGTTAAAATTTTGTCCGATAATAATACATAGGCGTAGAACTTGATTTCTTAAATAATTGCACCTTCAAAAATTCTACGCCAATGGAAGAAAAGGAGTTTGAGTATGAAATTTAGATTGCGCAACTCATTTACTGCAAAAAAGGTACTCCTGATAAGACTCGATTGCTCTCATGGTTTCGACGAAATTTGCATTTTAGTAATTTTAGAACATAAACAATAATAATTATTAAAACACAAACTTTGTCAAAACCATGAGAGTAAAAAGAGTGTTATCGAGGGTACTTTTTTGTAGTAAATGAGTACCCATTCCAAACATACTCAAACCCCTTTTCTGCCATTGGTGTAGAATTTTCAAAGGTGCAATTATTAAAAAAATCAAGTTCTACGCCTATGGCAGAAAAGGGGGTTCTAAAATTACTAAAATGCAAATTTCGTCAAAACTTGAGAACCATGAGAGCAATCAAGTCTTATCAAGAGTACCTTTTTTAAAGTAAATGAGTTGCGCAATCTGAGTTTCATACTCAAACTCCTTTTCTTCCAATGGCGTGGAATTTTTAGAGGTGCAGTTATTTAAAAAATCAAGTTCTACGCCTATGTATCATTATCGGACAAAATTTTAACACCATTTTTTTTGCCACATAAAACTCTATCAACATATCAAATTTCAGCAAAATCGCATATGCCGTTTTGAATTTATATGGGAAAAACGATTTAAAAATTGTAACTTCAAGGCCCTCTGGAGCCCATACGATGCAACTTTGTACTGAGGTAATTTTACTTAAATCGACTTATTTTGGTCTAGGGAAAATGTGGTATGTTTTTGTAAAGCCTTTAACAGAGTGTACGTGTTCATTTAATTTATTTATAACACATGAAAACAATGAATAAGAACTGATTAGGTACCGAATAACTCCTGAATGCAATTGAAGATACATCAACATGACGCATTGCACGTGATCTTCCTGCAATTACGATAAAACGAGAGATAAAATAAACTAATTGTTTTGCCACAGCCTTCACAAATTCCCTAACCATGCCGAAGCAACTTGGCAACTACGTCAATGAGTCCTTTATTCTCTTTGTCGACTATGAGAATTACCAGAGTATACTCGTGCATGAGTTATCCATCCAAGTACATTTTTTTTAGAAACTCATTTCCATAAATATATCATTACACCATGGATAACAAAACAAGTAATAATTATTTTGTCAATCTGATTAGAATTCGAGACACAGCAACTTCGACGCTTTGGACGCGGCCATACCTGAAAAGACGACGAAAAGAGACCGTCAACTTCATTTCGACACACATCCTTCTCAAACTTCCTAGCCATGCAGAAGTAACTTGGCAACTATGGCAATGGCAATGGGTCCTACACTCTCATTGTCAGTCATAAAGATTAATGGAGTATACACGTGTGCATGAGTGGTACAACCAAATATTAGTACATAATTTTTACACATTCATAGAGGTCTCATGAAATCATGAATGAGAACAAAGTATTTGATAACTTCTGATTGAATTCAAGATACAACTTGACGCAATGCACGTGACCATTTCTGCAACCCTCCTAGCGAGCTTCCTAGTAATGCTGGTGAAACTTGGCAGCGATGAATTATTTACTCTAGTTCTGCAGTGTAGGCTAAATTGAGGCTCAAAATAAAAGCGTGTCGCAGGCGAAAAAATTTTTAGACAACTTTTGGCTAATCTAGCCATTTTTTGCAATTTTTCTAGCAAAAACAAGAAATCTGACCATGGACTACGATTTTGACTTAAAATATTTTAGTCTGGAGCTCAGATCTAGAGCTTGACTCTACTGACCTAGTAGTATTGACGCTGAAGTATGACGTGATGTGTTGACGTCTTTGACGTCAACGTCAATGTTTTGAAATTTTGAAATAAAAAACGCACCAAATTTGTCAAAATGGCATAAAGTATGGAGTACAAAATCCATAGAAATACAGACTGGTCTAAATTTGACATAGATTAGATCGTGAATATAATGAACTATCTACGGGAATATTATAAAAATGAAACTATTTTTATAGAAATTCAGAATAATTAATAGCTAGAATGAATGGTTGAATGGCTAGATGCAATTTTCAGTAGCTAGATGAGTTCAAAAATGACTAGAACTAACCATAAAATGGCTGACTTAGCAGCAGAGCAGCACTGTCTAGTTGTCAGCCATTAAGGATTGATAAACTGAATTTAAGTACGTATGCATGATCCAAATATTGGTTTCGATAACTTATATACACGAATATAACAAAAAGTTGCCAAAAAATTAGGCAACATTTTCGTCAAAAGTATACTTCTCCGATTTGGACGTTTTTGTTTTGAATTACACAGGTAATTTCCTTCTGAACATAGTTGTGCACAAAAATCTCTTTTTTATACATACCGGGTGTAGCAATTACAGCATGTTTTTTTTTTCATGAAATTTGTAATACCCTCTAGAGTGTAATATTTACACTATCGATTGGATTCACTCCATTATCTTTCCTATAACTCGACAAGCACCATTTTATAGCATAACATGATTTTATGAAAAATCAATATCCACATTAAATAACGGAAAAACGAAACAGAATGCGAGGTCACAAGTTAAACAGAAAGGTCAGTAGCGAGTATTTCCGCCGCGGGCACGAAAAACTTCTTGGCAAAGACGGCCTATACCCAAAACAATGTTTACAGAATTATAATTCTGTAAACTTTAAATGTTAGTCCAGCTCTTCCCGAATTTGATTTATCATCAGTCTCTGCCGTGCGATTTCCAAAGTATTCTAGTAACGTGCCTCTTGTAATCTTGTCGCAATAATGTCCCAGAGATTCTCAATGAGATTTCAATCCGGGCTTCGAGCTGGAAATGCCATGGTAGCGATTCCGACCGACTTCCTCTAGATAATTTCTCGATGCTTAGGCGACGTGAGGCGTGGTATTATCTTATATCATCCAAAATCCTCACACTATATTATGTGGTTCTAAAATCGACAATATGTATATTTTAGCTGTAATGCAACAAGTTCCATGCAACCAGTCAAAAATGCCTTCCCAGACCATAACCTGCTACTTTCGTGACAATTGAATTAAATAATAGTATATTATTCAACGAGCGGTAATGTAGGTCATAACTCACGCAGATGAAGTTTGCAGCACGAGCCACAGGCGAGTGCTGTAATTCATCATGTGAGTTATGACCATTACCGCAAGTTGAATACTATACTTTATCTACGACTATTACAATAAATACTAAGTTACAAGTACAGAGAAAGAACTTTATTGACAAATGTTAATATACTTGATGATACAAATTTTAGATTTAATCACTCATTTTGTTTATTGAAACAATTAACTGTGAAGTTTGAACAACCAGTAAACTGAATATGTGGAACTGAATTATGGAAGTTTATTGTTTCTTTTTGTGTTTGTTGCATAACTATATGTTGTTGATGTATTAACTGATTGAGCTGTTATAGAACTGTATATTTTATTGCAGTATCTGTCTTATTCTTTTCGGAATAGCATCAACGTACCCCTCAGCCACAGTAGTTGATCGCCAACCGCCATGGCGTTTCAGTGCCGTACGGCATCTACTAATAAAATAAAGTTGCCGACGAGCGGCGAAAACAATGCCCTGTATATAAATTACTGTCTGGTAATTTCAGAAATGTGGCAATGTCTTTCCCCATTGCTCCAAATTTATGAATGCCATTCTTTGTGAGTAATATTTTCCATATGGAAATTTAAATGATAATCCATCTTCACTATCTGAATTCATCAAAAAAATCACAATAATTGTATATCAGCCTAGTTTGAAAACGTCGAAATTATTCAATTGACATCACTCCCCCCAATAACAATAATGGACTGTTCCCTTTCGGCAAACTGGCTTGTACAGAAGTACTGAGCCATCTTGATTTTCGGTTCGTAAATAATTCCAAGAGCCTTTCCCGATGTAACTATTATAGTGAGTTATAGTAGCGAGAGTTATTATAACTCACGCTGTTTGTTTACAGATACTATTAATTGTACAAAGGCAGTTGAATCATTGCTATATAATTCAATAGGAGTATATAGAAAGAAGAAAGAAGGAAATAACCTGTAATTCAATACAGTGTTTCCTAAACTTTTGGCAGGTGTTGTTTTAATTTGAGTATATTTATTATTTTGTTGAAAACGAATTATTTTGGGAGATATTCATGTATTTTGAAATTAACCTGGAATTCATTTTATTTATAAAGTTTAGGGAAGGTTAAGAACCAAACCAAAGCCTTTGCTTTCATCAAAGTCAGAAGCAATGAATGCTGAAAGTA